AAGGCTGATGTGCTTGGTTGCAGCATTGGAAGCATCAATATGTTACTTGAGTCGGCCTGCAACGCAGTCGCATTTTCAGGGACATATTCACCTCAGGCGCTGGATTGCACAGTTGGCTTTGCCATGACTTGCCATGCCGGTCCAAAGGCCGCTCAATACTAAATGAATACTATCTTTGGTCGGATGCTTCAAAGAACTCGAGCCAATTTTCAATCGAGCTCGTGAGACTGCTGCCTTCCATGCCTAGTCATGCGCAAAGCATACCAAGGCATGCAATCTCGTGCAATACAGCCAGGGCTGCGGCTCAGCAATTGGGCAAAGAAGGTGATGAAGGCCATTGACATATCATTGAAGTTGAAAATGTATCTCAGTTGGTCAAGCAGCACGGGGCCAGTTGAACTGTGAGAACAGAATCTCTGTGTCTGGAATAGTGCTCAATTGTTGGATTCTGCAGAATCATTTGAGTCGTGTAAATCCGAAGAGCAAATGTACCTTGGAGACTTGAACCCAGCTCAAATTTACTAAAGTCCGACAAAAAATAGACTGATTGATGAAAAAGGATCTGAAAGAATCTGAAAGCAGCTTTGTTCAGGTTTTCCCTTCTGCGTAATTTTTAATTTTGTGGCCCAGTGGATCTGGAGGATCCTGTTACTTCCTTTTTCCACATCACTTTGTTTGAGGATCTTGTCAGAAACCTCCTTGTTTTGTTTCTACCCCAGGATCCCCAGGGGTCGCTTCTGCCAGTTGCCATTTTCCATCCAGATCATCCAGCTTTTCATGTGGACTCTGGTGCATGATATGATTTGTGCGGTTCTTTGTGCAGTTGGCTCTGGTTTTTGGCACTGTCTTTTTTGGCGGGGCTACAGCTGCATTGGCAGAACTTGGATTGCCAGTGCCACATGAGGCTGTGGACTCAACCTCTGTGCATGGTTTTCCCTTCCGAGAAGGGTTTCCCTGCACATTGTTTGTCGGAATTATTTGATCTGACTTGTTGTGATCCCGCCAAGATATCTTTAGACAAGACATGTGAGGCTCACGATGACCGCAAGGGATACTTGTTAGACTTGTTATATATATATATTATACGTATATATAATATCTTGTTGTATTATCTTGGTACGGTATTATCTTGTTACTCGGCTTGCTCTGCACATCTGCCAAGTAACAAGTGCTTCTTTCCATACTCGGTATCCTTGAGTCAAGAACCGCGAGGAGCATTGCTTGGCACATTCCAAAATCATTGATACTTGCATCGACAAAGACACAGCCATATTATCATATATTATCCATATTTCATACTGCCTGTTCATGGCTTTGTCTCAGTGCAAGCAATAACAAAGTACTGTGAACTCCACAAGTTGGGAGAACATCGAAAGCCGGTGTTTGGAAATGTTTGGAAACAACTACTAGCTTCATTAGCCTGACATAGCCTGACAATCCTAGCAAACTATCTTCCCATTTTCACCTAGAGCACATTCTATCATGCCCGGCCAAACCGCGGTCATACCTATCGACATGCGCATTTGTTGACTGTCCTCCAAAGCCTCCTTGCCTTCATACAGAACTCCACCGAAGACATTCCTTGTCGTGCAAACAGCAGCAAAACAATTAAGGTAATTAAGTCGTCATCAAACTGAGCAACTCGAATCATGGAAGTTTTGCATAGTTTTGCAGTGGAGTACAAACGAGTGATAGCATCGATCCCACCATAGCAACATCATCGTGACTCCAAACAGCATCTGGGATTTCCAAGTGTATTCTCCAGCCACCAATATTGGATTGGACATGAATCGGCGCGACACAAGCAATCAGGGCAAGGTTTTGAATACTGTAGTACTTAAGAGTGACTCGTCAGCATACTCACTGCACACCCTTGCAGACGTGTTTCATGCTGAAAGCCGAGAAAAAGAAGAGCAGCACTCCCAACAGCTGCAGAATGTCGCCAGCCTGAGTCGCTGCCAATCTGACTTTCTCAAGTTCACTTTGGATTTGTTCAGAAGATGAACATTGAGCTGTGCACATATGATCATATGTATATATGTATCAGGCGCATGAATACTTTAAAACCTGAGAAGGGGGGAACGAAAGCCAGCATTCAATACTTTTCACCCACAGACTTTTCACCCATATGCATTTCACCCACAGACTTTTTAACCCACAGACTTTTCACCCACAGACTTTTCACCCACGTACGTTTCAACCACGTACTTTTCACCCACAGACTATCACAGACTTTTCACCCATAACTTTTCACCCACAGACTTTTCAAACGATGCAAGAGAAAGTGCAAACGCTACGACAAAGAGGAAAAAGGTGGCTTTACGTAGAAACATTTTGTTGTGGTCTTGCTTTTCAGTCATCTTGAACGCAATGTCAAAGATTGCCAAAGAGGAAAACTGTGACATTGAGGGCATCCATTTTCGAACCACTCGTTTGCGGCAAGTAGAAGTTTATTGTGGTGGTCTTTATTTTCTACCTTAGATCATCTTGAATGTCAAATGATGTACGACAAAGAGGAAAAAAAGGTGGCATTGAAGGCATCAATTTTGGGACCACCCGTTTGCAAAGGCACGACCAAGTGGTAAGCACAAAATGCTATGAATATCGGTGGTTTGGCCACTCTTCGGCCTCCCCACTAATCCGCTACAGATACTTCGTGACTGGTTAACTCGAAAAGCCTGTAAATACCGGTGTTTTGACCATTGCTAACCTTCTCAAAGTAAGAAAACAGTGTAAATTACACTGTGTTTGACTGGTTAACGCCAAAAAACATTGTATTTACACGTTTTTGGCAAAGTCACGAGACAGTGGTAAGCAGAAAAAAACGTTAAAAGCGGTTGTTTGGCCATCTAAGCTTCCCCTCTTACCCCCTTATTGCCACCTGGTACGTAAGCATGGAACACCTGCAAGATCATAAACCATTATCACCACCCACCTGACCCATCCTGACCCTGTTTGCAAACATTTTTCCTGCTAAGCCCCTGGACCCCCTAAACTCGCTTCGCTCGCATCAATAACTTCAGCCAAGCCTACCGGCCTACCGGCTGGCTTTCGTAAACCAAAAAAAACATATAAGATCACATGAATACTTTCAAGCCTGGCGAATGCACAAGTCGTATCATTTCACCTGGCCTAATGATTGAGGGCTTGATGATGATTCTGGAGCAAAGTCCCTTTGCTGAAAATCATACACAGCAACATGTGGCACCTCATTAAACCAAAGGCCCACGCCACACTGGTCTATTGTTGTGCAGCCATGTGGTGTTTGCAAATATGCATTGTGTGACAAGATTGGTGACCACCTTTGCTGTTTACATGGTCATGTGAGAGACTTGGGATGAAGACATCGCAAAAGATCACACAAAGCTTATCAGAACCTATGACTTCCAGATCATGACTCTTCAGGCTCCGGTGGAATCTCACTTTGCACCAGTGATATCAAGAATGTGCAAAGCATGAGTTGCTTACTCGATGATCCGATGGCAGAGTACCACCATACAATACACATAATCACACATATATATTATATATGATAACATAATATAACATATGCATATTATTGTTTTTATATAAATTTATAATATATATATATTATATGTACATATATATATTATGATTTGTTATAGGATGTTATAGGTTTAGTCGACTCCTATCTGCCACAGTAAGGACTTCTGTTCAGATTTACCATAATGTTCTGTGATTGCACAGTCATGTTCTGGTAGACTTCGGTAGACTTCGGTGGACTGGACTTCGGAAAAAACAACTCCCGTCCACTTCGGTAGAGTTGAGTGCCTGAGGATGTCTAAGATGTCTAAGACGTCGAGACTCAAGCCATGAGGCCGAGGAACTGCATTAACCATCCTTGAGACGGTCGCGACCATGAATTGGACTCGCGGAAATTGCTTCAGCTGCTTCACCTCGGATTCTCCCTCTCACTGAAAGTTCACTGAAAGTTCACTGAAAGTTCACTGAAAGTTCATTGCGTCTCGCCCTTAGTCGATCCTAGTCCAGCCATGTCCAGCCTAGTCCCTTGTTGAGTTTCTTAAGTCGCTTGATACTTCGATGTTCGCTGGTAACGCTAGTGTACTAGTATCAATTCTTATCACGTCTGTATCATCTGAATATCATGCAACATCATGCAACATATACGACATATAGATGCAGTCCTTCTCGGCTGCAAGGTCCACATAGACCTCCCATCACCTCCCTATCTCAAGTTTGCTCCTATAAACCTGCAAGGCTGAATTGACATACTCATGGAGCTCTAAGTTGGTCAGACATCGACCATGGACTTCCCTTGGAGGCTGGAGTCTGCGAACTCTGTCATGTACTTGAGCTCCTTGCGACACGAACCAATCGCAGGAGTCGGAGGATGTTTGCGTAGCGCTTCAAATCCTTGGAAAAAAATGGACAAGGCAAGACATATGCAGCCATCATGATGTCAATTGTTTGCGGCAAAATATATCTGTCTAACTCCTGTGTCCCAGCATGAAGCACGAAGGTTCCCTATTGCTGCAAAATGAATTAAAGAGAATTGAAGGCCAAAGCCTACGAAGGTCAGACGGTCAGACATGGAGGCACACATGGAGGCACACATGGATGCACACATCCACACATCTTCACAATCCTCGCAACATCCAAAACATAGGAATCCCCTCCCGCCTGAACATGTCAATCAGTCTACCCTTGGTCAAAGCTGGCAAGGCTCCGCTTGAACAGTTGCAAAAGGCAAATAGGGCAGAAGGGTTGTGAAGAGCAGCAACCAAGTTGTCATGAAATCAAACCTTGGTCGAGCTTGGGCGAATTTTGCAACAGCAGAAAAGGTAAAAAGCATTTGAACAGAACAGATTGACAAAAGAATATACATATTATATATATACATAATATATATATATATATATATACATATATATATATATTATATGTTGCATGTAATTATTCTAATATCTTTCCATTACTGAGATGCTGCTCAATGCCCACAATCTATGTATACACCGCAGTCAGCTAAACGACTTAAGCAATTCAATGTTTGTAAAACTTGTTTTGCCATGGGCCATGTCTATGCGCAGGCTACTGTGGCTACCAGTGTCTCATTCTCGGACAGGCTTTCCGCCAAGTTGCTGGTTCCCCCAGAAGCTGCAATATTCCGACCAAGACTTGACCTCGGCCATGGCAACTGACATCAACTGACCAGTCTGCCTGCGCTTAAACTCTTGCAGCTGTCTACGAGGATCTGGATGGATCTGGCACGACCTTGCCAGCAATTCCTGCACGTCCACAACCAAGTCATGTCAATGGCTTCATCTCACATTCTGAGAAAACTGGCTGACAGCTTCACCAAGACTTCTCCTGTGGAACGACATTGCATGTCGTGTCACCACTGGCTCACGCAGTAATTTTGAAAGGCACATCAAACCCAACAGCTTTGTGAGTGCATTGTGGTGGCATCATGGAAATACATGGAAATGTTGTAATAATGGTGTAACCTGGCATGGTACATTGTCGCTAGCATTTTTATGCATTTTTCATCAAAGAATGACTTGAAGGGAATGAATTGGAATTAGTTCAGAAGGCAGAATCACCCGAATCATCATGACAAGCCGTCAGATATCGATTGATCAGTTCATCCGGCCTACGTAGGCAAAGGCAAAGAAGAGGTCAAGGTTCCGAAGAAGTGCAGGTTGCTCCCAACCATAAAGGTTGTATGCAGACCTAGCTCAGCTCACCACAAAAAAATGCTTAGGATGGACCAACATGGCAGAATGAATCATAGCGCATCATAGCACCGCTTGATACCACGATATACCACGTATCAGTCTGTTTCTGAGGCTTTGCATGGCGGTTCATCATGGTTCATCGCTCTTGCTGTGCAGTCAACAGCGAATCCTTTTTAAATCTGACCTCTTCTGACTACAATGCAACATCCATCAACCCCTTCAAGTACTGTGGCCAAACACATCAAACACTGACTGCTCATGAGGGTTTGAAGATGTTCGAAGCAACTATGAACGTCTTAGGCTCCCAAAAAGCGACAACATGAGTGCATGCATGCTAGGCCTGATCGGGTTGTCCACGACCAAAACCAAAGCCCAGGGCCCAACAGATCAAGAATTCGAATTTGAACTTGACATTTCCAGTGATTTCTGTGTCAGAAACCAGTTGACTGGCTAGGCCGTGCGATGCAAACTATGGACCCAGTGGAACTCAAAGGAAATCATAAGGCATCCGCCCTCGGTGACCAGTATCCCAGTAAATTTGGACAAGATTGAACAGAACTCTATCATACTTGTTCACAGTCTGGTTGCACATCGTATCACATGTCACATTCTATTAGATTACAGTAGATTGATGTAGACTGGATTACAGTGAGTCACATTCTGATGCTGCCATTATCACATCACATTGGATATGACAGTATTATCATCGTCTTGTGTGAAATGCCAGCATCTCAACTAATTATATCATGTGATGTCTTCACTTGCTTCTGGAATTATAAACAAAACCTAAACACATGATTGTTTCTAGGATGTTAAGGAATGCGCCGGTTAGTGGTTCATCGGGTTCATGGAGGACATAATTATGTACTGTAACTTTTATGCGGAAATCCAGTTGCAAAGTTCCGAGACTCGAGTTCAAGCTCAGTTCCGGGCTGTGCAACCACCAACACAAGATTCAAGAGCAACACCTGCATCATTGCAGAATCAGACTGCAGGAAACGATCAACGATGTCAAAGTTTGTTTCCAAATTTTGATCCGGAATCCATCCGGAATCCACACTTTGCGCAAAGGAGCTACTCTGCCCTGCCCAACACGCTTCTGCCACGCCTGGTTCATGAAAACGTCGAAGGCTGGCAGCTCTTCAGGCTCCCAAACAAGTTGCCTGTCAAATTTGGGGTCCAATCCCAGGAGAGACCAGACATTTCCAGATGTTTATAATCACGGACTCCTACTTAGAATAAAAGCTTTTCCAAAATTTGAAAACCAGTACTTAGAATAAAGCCATTACGAGACGAATCTGGTACTTAGAATAACTGTACTTAGAATTAAACTGCTGCTCTATCGATATTGTATATTCAGGTGCGAATACCTGTTGTGCATGACATTGCATGACCATATGCCATTGATTTGTGGTTGCTACTCACTCATCACTATCAACTTCATACTGCCACGTGTAGCTCATATCACGAACGTGTTGCATGTTCCAAGTACGTGTTCCTGCAAGCTAGAATGAGTTTTTGCACGTGGTTGCTACTCACTCATCACTATCAACTTCATACTGCCACGTGTAGTTCATATCACAAACGTGTTGCATGTTCTAAGTACGTGCTCCTGCAAGCTAGAATGAGTTTTTGCACGTGGTTGCTACTCACTCATCACTATCAACTTCATACTGCCACGTGTAGTTCATATCACAAAATTGTTGCATGTTCTAAGTACGTGCTCCTGCAAGCTAGAATGAGTTTTTGCACGTGGTTGCTACTCACTCATCACTATCAACTTCATACTGCCACGTGTAGCTCATATCACAAACGTGTTGCATGTTCTAAGTACGTGTTCCTGCAAGCTAAAATGAGTTTTTGCACGTGGTTGCTACTCACTCATCACTATCAACTTCATACTGCCACGTGTAGCTCATATCACAAACGTGTTGCATGTTCTAAGTACGTGTTCCTGCAAGCTAAAATGAGTTTTTGCACGTGGTTGCTACTCACTCATCACTATTAATTTCATACTGCCACGTGTAGCTCATATCACAAACGTGTTGCATGTTCTAAGTACGTGTTCCTGCAAGCTAAAATGAGTTTTTGCACGTGGTTGCTAGTCACTCATCACTATCAACTTCGAACTGCCACATGTAGCTCATATATCAGGACCGTTTTGCATGCTCCAAATATGTGTTCCTGTAAGCTAAAATAAGTTCTTGCACGTGGTTGCTATCCACTCATTACTATCAACTTGATATACACTATCGTGCTATATGTACTGCGGAAGACATGTCGCTGCAAGAAATATGATCCGCAAGTAACTTACCAAAACAACACTCATCACAGATCAAACAACATCATGCTCTCATAGTTCTAAGTACTGCCATTCGGTGCAATGTCTAAGTACCTGATTTTTGTTCTAAGATGTTCTAACCAGTACTTAGAACAAGTCTCCCTGCAACTTGGGAACACATGTTTTTTTCCAAAAGTTATTCTAAGTACAAGTCGACGGCTATATACGTCCACCTATCATCACCTATCATCACCTATCCATATCCATCATCTCAAATACTGCAGTGTGGAGACTCCGGGCACTTTCACCATCATCATCATCATCCAGTTCATCATCATCATCATCATCATCGTCGTCGTCGTCGTCACCTTTACCATTACCATTGCAATCATCATGTCATATCCTACTGGTCTACTCGTCTACTCGTATCGTCTTACATCATTCTCATTATGTCGTTATTACGTCATCATTGTGTCATTATTATATCATTGTCATGTCATGCCATGTTCATATCATTACTGTATTTTGTATCATATATTATCATCATGCCTGCCACGAGGAGGAAACGAAGAGCAAGTAACGCACAGAGCGAAAGCGTCGGGATGCGTTCCGGGACTTGCTGCGACAGCACTGAGATGACAGAATTTTACAAATCACCTCCAGCACTTTTTGGGGAGACACGGGAAGACTATGCTGAGAAGGCGTGGAAATGCGACGCAAAGCGACAGCCAACTACAGATTCCATAGATTTTGAAAGAACGAGAGACCTTGCTTGGATGAGCTAAAGGCTGACATGCTATCCTCAACACAGATCTTGAAATATCTTAAAGAACCTTAGAGACTTCAATTCTCCTTGCAATGTGAAATAATGGTTCTAGTAAAAACGATCACACATATTTATATATATAATTAGATATATTAGATATAATTATATATATAATTATATATATTACATATATGTACGTATAACCACCGGCACAGTCACAACCAGGTTGACTCAATACAATTTGTGAAACAAATCTTCGCCCAATCTTGAACCCACACCTAGGAACCCCGACTTAGCCTTTATCATCCTTTATCTATTGATTTTCAATAGGGAGATGGGATCAATCTGATATGGTCACGACAATTGAGATACGTCTGCTTACAATTCATCATCATCGTCACAGTCACCATCACAGTCATCGTCATTGTCGTCATCGTCATGGTCATGGTCGAAGTCATCCTCATCATCCTCCTCCTCATCGTCCTCTCTTCCTGAGCCTCCTCATCCTCATTAATCCTCCTCATCCTCATCTTCCTTGTCCTCGTCCCGTCCTCGTTCATTGTCCTCAATCTCCCCATATCTCCCTTGTCGTGGGCGCTCCTCACCCAGCTGAAAAAGGGCTCTTCCCAAAACCGCGGAGCACATCTTGCTACGCAGGAGTCCTCCCATGTTCTGCAGAAGCCACACACACAAGCACACTTTGACCACAACTGCTGGCAATCATGAAAAATAATTCAGAATACGAAAAACATATTCAAAGAACACGGGCTTATGTGCGAACAAATTTCAAGAATAGCCAAAAGATAGCGAAGGTGTTGGCTTCCATGGCATCGAACTGTGCGGGAAACAGACCATGCAGAGAATGTCAAAGCCATTCAAATGCCACAGGCCACACGCAAGTGGATGCTGACATCAAACACAAACCAACATCTAGCAGCAAACACATACAAGTAGGGCACATGATTGAAATGGATTTGACCTAATATCATGCATTGTATGAGGGACATCTGAATCTATATAATACACTCCAAAGCCCAGGCAGCACCTGATTTCCACACGACTTTAGACAAGCTCGGACGACTCAGCGCAAGTGCCACATAGGCCAAGCAAAGATTGAGTGCACAGTTTGGGTCTGCAAACACCCAAAACTTAGCTACTCGAAGTAATTCGAAGTATATCAACTTCAAGCAAAAAGGCGGCAGTCCTTAGGAGCCACCCAAACCGGGTTTTGAATCACGCGGCAAGCGTCAAGGAATTTCTCCTGTAAGGACAAGTACGTCAGGCCAAGGACGAGAGGATCATAAGCTCAATATCATCAATATGCTTCAAAGATCTTCAAAGTGATTTGATTCGATTTGATGATCATTGATGTGATTTGAAAATGGCGCTTATGGATGCTTATGGCGCTTTATGGCATCTGTGTGTTTGCGTCTGCTTTTTTCTACGTTCAGTCGTGGCAAAATGCCTGCAATGGGATTTCAAATGGAGTCTCCGGAGTCTCTCCTCAGTGACTTCTCCAAAGTGCTCAAAGATGATCTCAGCCTCGGAGAGACTATTTCAATGTCTGCAAAAACTATACCAGGCCATACCACAACTAAACGGAGTACGTCCCTAACTCAAGGAAAAAGAACTGGAGTTGATGAATAGAGTCCTTGTCTATGAAAGAAGTCCATCAAGATGTACAGTACTGGAGGTTAGATGCTGTCTAGGGATGTCTAGGGATACTATAAAATAAAAATCTCTAAGATACGCATACATACGTATTCACATCCACTCCAGGCAGGCATCTTTTTATGGCATGGTGTCTCCAAAATGCTCTGGGCACTAGGTGGCGCACGGTTTCTCGGTCAATTGGGAACATACCTAGTGCCCAGACTGCATCATTCTGCATCGCACTGTTCAGATCTGTTCAGACTGGCTCTCCAAAATACTAATACGCTTTTTGCATCTTTCGACAAAGTTACATCAGTTACTAGGCCAGAGCTGAATCCAAATGCCAAACATGACCCAAGCGTCCCAAGCGTCCCAAGCGTCTCAAGCGTCTCAAGCGTACAATGCGATGTAGTGCGATGTAGTGCGATGTAGTGCGATGTAGTGCGATGTAGTGCCATGTAGTGCCATGTAGTGCCATGTAGTGCCATGTAGTGCCATGTAGTGCCATGTAGTGCCATGTAGTGCCATGTAGTGCCATGTAGTGCCATGTAGTGCCGTGTAGTGCCATGTAGTGCCATGATTCAGTGATGCAGTGAAACAATGAATCCTTTTAAAAGATATGACGAGATACAAGTTACGACAATTACATACGAGATTCTATGATTTCTATGTGAGCTCGATACGAGCTAAGAGAATTCGCCCAGCTGCCGATATGCCAAGGTATGCCAAGATATGCCAAGGTATGCCAAGATATGCCAAGATATGCCAAGCTATGCCAAGCTACGAGGCGACTGCCCAAGATCTTGAAGGAATTCCAGAAAAACGTCCTTGGGAACACGTTGATGCTGCCCATTGCCCACCTGAGTTGGTGCAGTCTGCATGTCAAAGTCTGGCCCTGGGGATCCCTGTTTTGGATCTGCATACCGGCAACATTGCCAGGCAGTCAAATGATGTCAAATGATCCATTTGTATCCATTTGTGTCAAATCATATGCTATCTTGATCTATCTTGCCTTGTTAGTCATTAGTCCTTATGATCCTTATGTCTATCGAGTCAAAGGATGTAAATACCAGTAGCATTTGTGCCAAAACTGCAACTAAGCGTGCGGAAACGGTTCCGGCTCTCTTGCAAATTGACATCAGCATTAAGGCCGTGGCTGACAGGGTCAGGAATGCGTCGTGTATACTATGTGCCTGTCAAGCATCACAATAATGTATATTATATCTATAATTTACATATATATATATCATATATATATATATCATTATATATATATCATTATATGTCCAGTATTATCCAGTAGATAGTCTGTAGTAAATGTAGAGAATGTAGCAACACTGTAGTAGATTGAAATGCATCCGTTGTGATTGCTGCTCAATCCGGTGAAATGCGGTGCGAGTCCGTTCCGCCTGGACTTCCGCTTTCCGATCCAACTCTTCCTCTGAACCCTTCAAATAGGCCGCCACGAAAGCATCAATCACAAGGTTTAAGAGCCTTGGTTTACAATTGCTTTCGAAGCCAAAGATCCCTGCGCTTTGCTTTCAAAAGCTTTTCAAACTGTCATGCCTGCGAAGCTGACTTCTAGCATTCGTCGAAATCTATGCCCGCGTTTGCAACTTCATAGATCTTCATAGCAAGTCCGATCCAGATCAATCCAGAAGAGTGTCTCAAGTCCAGAAAGTGGATCAACGCAAACTGCGATCAACCATGGACCATGGCACCCCACTATGCTAACTCGCACAAGAAAATGCAGCAACAATCTCCCACGAAAAAATCACGCATCGGCCCAGCGTTGCAAAAATTGCATTGGTTGGCAGACCCCGGCGCTGTCTTGATCTTGGGCCCATGCAATATTTGCCCAATAACCAGAAAGACGAGCCAAAAGATGCCTCAGATTCAGACACACCACTAGCCTCAACCAGAACATACCAGAATCAGATAGAATCAGTGAGTCTGTTAAGCTTCAAAGAAGAGACAAGACGAGTGTGTTGCAAGAGGTATCCTGGGCTATACCGTATACCTGAACGCCTGGCACCCCCTGCTGGTGCGGCTCCTTCTTAGCATTTCCGACAACTTGTCAACAACTTCAAGAATTCTCAAACTAGCTCAGACATTATCGACCATTTTCAAGAATTCCTTATATTGGTTTGACAGGAGGTTCCTATCAGCCCAATGGATGACCAAGTGCCAGGACCACTTGTCCTACATAGTCTAGAGGTGTCTAGAGTCCAGACTCTACATTTTGACCACAAGATTCTGCTTTTCAGGTTTCCCTCATTCATTCTTACTCACAGCTCTGCGCCGTACTTGTCTTATGTTTTTGCGAAATTGTGCCCAAACACATCTCTGAGCTTCTCAGAGTCCCACATTCTTTTCGGAAAAAATATGACAAAGCATGAATCCTCCAACATCCGCCACGCATTCTGCGCATTCTGCGCATTCTGTGCATTCTGTGCATTCTGTTGGTGGTGCGCTTCCTGCTCCAAGTTGACTTGCACAAATCCACCGAAGACATCTGAGGGCCCCAGCCGGATACGCGGTATACAAAGAAAGACGGAAGGAAGTTGTCCACGAAGCCTTCGCCTAGGAGACGAAGTAGAGTGAAGGAGAAAAAACACTTTGAACAATTTTGAACTCACATTTTTTGTCAGTGTCACAAGTGCCATATTGATCCATATTGCACTTTAGGTCTGAAGACTTCAGGCATGGCTACAATAGCTCTTCTTGGAAAATGCAACGGACCACAGGAACTGAAACGTCTCTGTACATCCAGCGATCCTAATGAGCTAAAATACATTAAAATCCGGTATCATCCCCTTCACAAAGTGGATCCGATTCAAGCATAAAGATAGCACTGACCGCTGTTACATGTTTTGCTGTCCACTTGTATTCACTAAATGTTGTGGTGAAAATCCATCCGCTGTTTAAAATTATTGACTAAGCAGAATCTTTTCTACTTCCATTGAGTTTGCGTTCAGCTACAGGGCTGACGAGGGACCAATGCCAGCCACAAAGAGAGAATATGTAGCCTGCCAAGCACCAACAGCTGATAATCTGATGGTTTGAGTTTGAATCATTTTGAATCCAGTATGATCCAGTGTTGATTGCAGAAAGGAGACAGCTTTGCGGGCTTTGGATCTTACGAGGAACAGCAACATCACCAAAGAACCAGGAAGAGCAAGAGTGTCAGGTGCCAGCGGCCAGGCGCTCTATTAATTATTCAAAATGCGAATTCGGTTCGGCTTTCCAAAAATGCCACCGAATCTTGCATGAACCTAGTAGTACTGTTTTAAAATTGTTGAATAGTTTGATATTCTCGGCTTCCAAATGCGTGTGAAGCCACCAATGTAAATGGGGATGCCAAACAGGTGCAAAGAACTGGAAATATGGTAGACACAACTCTTGAATTCTTGCGCATGCAAAGTCATGCAATAAGTCGCAGAAGGGTGCCCTGCAACATCTCGACCAGCAGTGAGACAACTCGTCTAATTCTTTCTGTTTCATTCTGATTCCAGTGCAACACCATCTTATGGGAAGCAAAAAACCGGGGAAAAACATGTTATGGAGATGGTTTCATGTTTACCTGCAACAAAAATGTGAAGCATGGAACTGTGCACAATTTCATGTTCTATGACTGGCAATTTCCATTTAATTTTCTGTTTTCCACAAGCCGCCCAAACCACCCCCCAGCTGATGCTCCTCCTTCAAGGTTGCTAGACCCTGAAATGGCTGCAAGTCTCGGCATACATTCCAATGAGCAAAGTTGAAACATGCAACTGGTGATGTGTTGTGCATCTTTATCTATCTCAAAAACCAGATAAACACAAATGGTATCAAATAGTTAAATAAAAATAAATATCAATCTGCAATTTGTGTTGCGTTCTTATGTTGTTTTACCAAGGCGTCTCTGAGAATTACAAGTACAAACAGCGACGATGACAAACTACGTAACACAAATGTCAATATATAGTATAATATAATATAATATAACATAATATAATATAGTACAATACATTTTTTATATTGTATTATATTATATGTTGTTATGTTATATTATATTATTCTATTTTATATTAAATCATACAATATTTAAAAATATCACATAATATAATATAAAATATTATTAAAAAATATAATAAAAACAATATAACATATAATAAAATCATTAATATAATATACAAATTTAAAACATAAATATAATATATATATAATAATAATATAATATAACATATCATTTTTGTAAGTGTGAATGTCACCGCTCCCGAGCGGCCTCATTGGCTCTGACGATCTCCTCACAGCTGCGCAAAAATTCTGGATAGTTTGGTCAGATGCATAAACATAGACTTACAAAACTTTGGACGTGTCTCACATCTCTTGGGCGGAAGTTTTCACGCTCACCAAATGATGACTACACCAATGTGCATTCGATTGAGCGTTCAGCCATTTTTTTTCTGTTTTTTTCTATCTGTAATGAAAATTTGTCTGTTCAATTTTTCTCCTCCTCGGATTGATATGCCACAGTGTCCAAGTCTTTGAAGATCGTCACTGTGACCCAAGCAAAGAAGAGCCTCGCTGTGCGACCAGGAAAACCTTCGATTTCACATCTGAGGGTTTGCATGCCATTGTATCAAAAAAAGTATCATATCTTTCTTTCTGGAACTTTCCAAGGACATGTTTCCCAATTTTTTTGTGCTTGTTGAATTCCCAAAAGTTCCTGCGAAGGCTTTTTCCAAAGGACAGCTGCCAAATTCAATTTTTCACTTCATCTACACAACATCTCCTACATTCTTTGCATCGCCTACATCATCTACAGCAACTTCATTTACACCACATACATAATCTACATTTTGTACATGTCTATTGTATCTTTACATCACCTACATCGCCTACATCATCTACTACATCATCTAAATATATCTAAATCAATTTCATCTACAACATCACATACATTATCTACATCAACTTCATCTACATCACATAGTATAATATATCTATATCTACCTACATCATTCACACGACCTAGAGGTGCTGAACTTCTACATATCTCCTACAACTCCCACAATGTCATTTACAAGATCGTGCGTGTCGGACGCGCAGCCGTGCGGTGAAATGCGAATTTGCACGGGATACAGACCCTGATCAGCTCTGCGTACCTTCTCCATTTTCCAATTTGTATGGCAAGCGGCCAGGCCAATAACCGTCAGCCGTTTTTGATTTCTGCACAATTGGGGCAATCCAACTGTGGTGAAAGGACAACTACCGATTTATTTTTGGGCATCTTACATCGTGACTGGTCAATCCTATGTGTTCCCCTCCTCTGATGAGGAATATATACTTGAATTGTTGTTTTTGCACAACCGAGGCATTCCACTGAAATCAAGTCTGTGACTCATGTCAGATTCGACACGATGACATGAGCCCTTCGGGGAATACCTTTCTAGGTAGGAACTGGGATCCTTTACCTGACTCTGAATTTACAATTTTCAACCTAGTAATCGTCTAAGTAAAGTGAACAGTGGGCCGTTTTTTCACTTTTCACCCTGCCCTATCGTTTGTTGTTGGTTGAACAACTGGCCGCAATACTGGGCTTCGCCTTCTTTCGCTTTTCACCCGGTCGTTTGCCGCTGGTTGAACATTTGGCCGCAGTACCAGGCTTCATTTCCTTTTGTCAGCCGTGGAAATCTCCTTTTTCAACTTTGATCGAGAGACTGACCAGCGTCTGGCATTGCAACATGACAAGGTTCAGGCTTCAGGACATGCTTTCCAGGTGTGGTCACTTTCTTGTGGTTGATCTGGTGAGGTCAAGTGGTGCACGAATTCGAGGGGTGACTACTTCAACCGTCCACGGAGTTGATCTGAATTTTCGGCCATTGAGCCTGATCAGGGGATTCTGCGTTGGATTGTGGACGCATCAATTTGTTATTGAAACGTGTTGGATAATTTGATACTGATTCTCCCTGCCTCCTTGCGGTGATGCATCATCCCGACCTGTGCCGCCCATCATTTTTCCTTGGTCGCCATTCTCCTCCTCGCCTCGGCCGTGCCACATGAATACCCCTTGCCGAGCTGTACATTCTCTGCACGGCACCTTAGGTGACTGTGATTTTCGGCCGGGGGTTTCAAGTGGTTTTCCTGCACTCAACATCAGTCTTCCTTGCTTGCTTATCTCCTTTCCACTTTGCAATCGCCTCATGCATATCATTCATTTCACCTACTTTCTAGCCACTGCCTGCGGATACAACTTCTCCACCCACAAAGGGCATTTACCGCCCATCATGTTCCTTGGCCGCCATTCTCCTCCTCGCCTCGGCCGCGCCACATGATGCCACATGAATGCCCCTGGCCGAGCTGCTCGTTCTCTGCACAGAACCTTCTCGTGACTGTGAATTTCGGTCGGGGGCTTCACGTGGTGTTCCTGCACTCTGTCATATCGCTGGTTTCAGTCCCTTCGTCATCAGTCTTCCATGCTTCCTCAGCAGCTTGCCACTTAGCAATCACCTCAATCATCATTCATCGAAGGAAGTTTAGAAGTCAAACTTCCGACAATATGGACAGATGAAAAGCAGAGCAGGGAAGAGGCAGAGAGAAGAGAAAGATTAGAAGAAAGAAGAGTAGAAGAGAAAGAGTAAGAAGAAAGAAGATGCAGATGCGCGAAAAGGTAGGAAAGTCGCGAAACACTGTGTTTTTCCAATGATTTGTGGCTCCGGAGAGTCGAAAAGTAGGCTCGCTAAAGCGGCGGGTGCGGAGCCAGCTGGCCAGATGAGAGATGAAAAGTTGCACGCCGTTTTGGCGCGAAGCACATTTCCAAGTCAAAATGGACAAAGCACCTCAGCGCCGGACCGCTTTTGGAAGCGATGTCGAAAAAGTGCACACCGTTGTGGCGCGAAGCACGTTTGGAAGTCAAAATGTACAAAACACCAGGGGTTCGGACCACTTTTGGAAGTTGCGATGTCGAAAAATTGCACGCCGTTGTGGCGCGAAGCACATTTTGAAGTCAAAATGCACAAAACACACCAGGTCCGGACCACTTTTGGCAGTTGCGATGTCGAAAAAGTGCACGCCGTTGTGGCGCGAAGCACATTT